CCTTGTTGAAACGGCTTCTAAAATCAACTACAAGGCACCTTTGTGGCATTATTAATTAGAAAAAAGCCTTATGAAGTCAATAAAAAAAGGAAATAAATAGGGTTTTTGTGCAACCATCCACGAAATGAGTTTTCGCGGGTGCCACACAGTCCGCGAAGTTCAATTTCGCGGCCGTTGCCCTTGGTGACGGCCGCGAAACTATAAATCAAAATTTGACACTTTGACAACAGCTAGACAACAAATAAATTTTATTTCCAAATTCTTCACAACGACATAAATTATAGGATAAATATTAACAGTTATGTGACAGTTAGAATTATTACTAATATTCACTCCTGAAGTTGAAGCAACTAAATCCAGTGTTTTTGAATAATTATTACTAACATTGGAGCTAGAAGCAATACTGCCAGAAATTGAATTAGAAATTTTTTTCTTATTTTCGATGGAGTCCTCTATATGTATCCTTCTGCTACTGTGGTGGATTTCCATCCACTGTGGCGTTTCAGAACTGACATATCGGCACCAGTATTTGCAAGAAGAGTAGCAGAGCTTCTTCTGAAACAGTGACCCGTGTATTGTTCGTCGATTTTTAACTGATACTTGCGGTATGAGGAGCAAGGGGGTGTTTCATATGGCAAAAACAGGTGTGACGTCAGGTAACCATTGGCGTTCTAATGTAGGGAGCCACCAGCTTACATTCCGTTCGAGTATCAGATTAAAATCGACGAACAATAATGCTTCACTGTTTGGCAATCCAAGATACTTAGCAATCATGGAGGGTATTTTTCCGATCGTTTGCACTCCGACTTGTGCAGTGCACTTCCCATTTTCATATCTCAAAAATACACGACGACTATTAATATTTTTTGGTCGAAGGGCTGCGTATTTGAGGTAAATTTTTATAAAATTCAAATTAGTGATTGTGAAAACGCGTTTCTGGTTAGTCTTAGTATCAGGAACTGTTACTATTAATACGGCATCTTTCTTCTGATTGATTAACTACTTCATCTCGCCGCAATGCTCCTGATATCCCCATAATCATAACTACCTAAAACAATAATTGTGATAAATAAACCAACTAATCAAAAGCTAACTTTTTTAACAATTTACCTTCAACAATAAATAGTTTTCATCACAAGCTTCTTTCATGAACAAATCAATTTGATCACCCGCTAACACTTTCGATTTCTTTGCTTGATAACCTACCAACTTTTTTTTCAGGAAAGGTACCACTTTTGAAAACTTCCTCACATCTATCCCTTCTCGTACGTTGAGCATACACTTTAACATGGAATAAATGCTCCATAAACTTGAACTCTCCAAAACTTTCGATTTCTGCATTAAATAAGCCAACAATATATTTTCAGGGCCCGCTCTAGAGCCTTTGGGCCATTCTGGGCAAAAATAGGAATTGCCGCCCTAGAAATTGATTTGGACTTTGGCAGGGCCGTGCGAAGCACGCGCGGGCCCCAGTACAGCTATTGCGACGGGCCTCCCTAAAGTGACCCCAAACATTTTTGAGGTCACGACATTTTTACCCAGAAGTCGTTAAAAAAGTACAGGGTGATCTATTATAAATGTCACCCCTTCCTAACTTTTTTATTTGATGTTTTTGACAAAAGTGTCAAATAGAAAAGTTTCAGGAAACTGTCAAGTGTAGCAGTACGAGGTTATATTATTTCAAATGGTATACACCTTGTATATTGTGCGCTTATTTGTTAGTCCCTTTCAAGGTCTCATGTTGAAGAATGAAAAATTATACCATTCAAGCTATAGAGATAGAGAGAATTGTTTATTAACAATTTATTGTTCAAATGATATTCATTAATTTACAAGGTGAAATATCATAATAAATCCAGATAAAATAAGCTATTATTATCATTAAAAAAAAAATACCAGGAAGGGATTTTCACGTTTTTCCCTATAACTATCGAAGATAAATCGAGAGATAAACATATCAAATAATATATCGTTGAAAGCAGGTTGAAGGGGACTAACAAATGGGCGCACAATATACATGGTGTTCCATTTTAAAAAATAAAACTTTGCTAGGCTACACTTTTTTGACGCACCCTCTATGCTTGAAACTGACTTTAAAAACTTTTAACAATTTCTTAAAACATTTGTATTGGACACTTCTGTCAAAAACGTCAAATGAAAAAGTAAGGAGGGGGTGAGATTTATAATAGCTCACAATGTATAAGTACTCCTCGGGTATAATTTTATTAATTAACCCTTTTGGTTTCACAACCTGTCAAAGTTGCTAAAAAGTGAATTTTCAACTGTCAATATTTCCAAAACAGTTGAATCCAGGTAAATGGTATATCACATGGAATCTGCTCAGAATTTTACGTAGAATCCGAATATTCAATTCCTGTTTACAGGGTATTCCATTTAAAATGAGAGAGTTGGACCACGACCAGCTTTTCTGAAACACTCTGTAGATGCGAAAATGAGAAGAAAAAAATTCAACCATAAAGCTTTTATTTGAGACACTTCTTTCTAAAATGTCAAATAAAAAAGGTATAGTCCGTGCAATTTATAACCAATAACCCTGTACCATAAGACCTGAGAACATTTTTGGCGGGCCGGGCCCCTACTGAACCCGGGCCCCGGTAATTTATACCGGCCGCACCCCCCTATGCACGGCCCTGGACTTTGGACGTGAAGGGAAAGGGGGTTATACAGAGGCGGCCCGTGACTTTTATCTCAAGGAAGGCAGCCTAAAAAAAATTAAAAAAAGTCGTAGGTAAGTTTCCAATTTTTTCGCGGAATGGAGGGGAGTTGGTAAAGCCCACCGCAGGCGCCGCCTGAGAAAGAATTTTTTTTCGAGTGCCACGAGCAAAAAAGTTTACCTATTTTAGCTAGCCACCGAGCCGAGCGATGCCGTGCTATGCGCGAAAGGCGAAAATACAATTCTGCGATTTCAAGTAGCCGCGTTCATACTAGGCTTGTCCGAGCGGATCCTAACGAAGACGATCAGAGCAGAGCGATAAAAGGCAAAATAGTTTGTGATTTGACGCTGATTGCGTTGCGTTTTTGAAAATGGCTATGGAAAAATTTATACAAGAAGTTTATTTAAGAACACCAATATGGAATCAAAAAAGTCCTTCTTATCTCAACCGTGATCTAATTGCGAAATTATGACAATAAGTGTTAATCTCGTGTGACCAGCACCTTCTTCTTCTTCTTCTCCTGCTCCATAACCCTTTTACGATCAACGAAACTTCTAATAGTAACAACAAACACGTTACGTCCATTTTAAAATTACGCACAGTGTTTTCTTGTTACAAACAATGAAGGACTAAAGCCTAGTACTCATAACTGCGAAATTCGCTTTTTTTGACATTGCTTCGACAATTTGACGTTTGATCACGCAAAAAACGTCAAATTGTGAAAGCAATGTCAAAAAAGTGCGAATTTCGCAGTTATGAATACTAGGCTTAGTTAGGAGCTAGAAAAACAATCGTAAGCGAGTTATACAATCTTTGTATATGCACTTTCTCGCATCCACTCGCTAGGTGTCGCGGCCTTAGGTCTGTTCGCACAGAAATCACTAACCAGTCAGAGGAGTGAATTTCATTGGTTGAAACTAGTTTTCTGAATGTTTCTCTGACTGTTTTCAACCGATGAAATTCGCTCTAACTGGTTTGTGATATCTGTGCGAACAGACCTTTTATTTATTTATTTATTTGTTTTGTTTTATCGATATAAATGCCGCCCCAAATTTTGCCGCTCCGGGCAAATGCCCGGGTTGCCCCCCCCTAAAGCGGGCCCTGTATATTTTCAGACACCATTTTGACGTTTTGTTTGTCACACCAATTTTTGAACTCGAAGTAACAATTTTCATATTGCCGCTTAGATTTTTCAGGTATTAACTCAGAAATAGCTGATTGAACTACACTTTTTAGCTCTGGAGGTCAAGAAGGTGAAATATCTGTATCGCTGCTGGACATTTTCACGATTTTTTGAGAACCGTCAAAATTTTTTGTTTAATTGTTTACATGCAAAATATGATATCCATAGAAACGCTGTGCCACCATAGCCACCAGGTTATATTATATCAAACTGGTAAAGTTTGTTTCACCAGGGTTTGTACTTGCCAGCAGCATTTGTCTTTGTTGTTTAATAAATAAAAATTGACTGAAACAAATCAATGACGTCAAAAACGTTCGTCGGTTCTTAAACCAGACGTTATTCATTTTAATTTGTCAAAAAAATTGAACGTGTCAATGAATTAATCTACGACAACCCTTTTTTATCAAGTTTCAAGGTCAAGTATGAACCCTGGTGAAACGAACTTTAGTTAGTTCCACATGCTTGTTGAAAGGAGTAATTTTTTTCTGTAATTTCACATAATTTTCATGGTTGCACAAAAAATAGTGTGTATACCATGACCGCGAAACTTTTTAGCGTCCTCGAGATTATCTTGCCTCGGCAGCAAGCGGCCTCGGTGATAACTTTTCTCTTCATACACGCTAAAAAGGCATTTCGCGGCCTTGGTATACAAATAACTATTAGTCACAAAACATTCACACAATGCACTTTAAAAAGCTTTAAATTCTGTACTGTCATATACGGAATAAGGAACTTGGAACTTCCGCCTCGGTGGCCATTTTGGAATAGTTTTGTGACAGGTCGTTGGAATGCCTAACGTTTCAGCAATTTTGCAGCGTCATTTGTTTCATGAATATCCACGTAGGATCATCGGTTACATTTTGAGTTCCCAACACTAATTTCGCGTTACCGGTCAATTTACCGATAATATCGAGTTCAGCAAGTGAATGTGGTTGAGCAGCGTTATAAAAAGCATCTTAAGCATCAATGCGAGGCTTTGACATACTGATAAATACTTAAGGTCTATAAGGAGCTCCCAACATTTCTTACCACCAAAGTTTCACAATTTTCTCTTCACTAGTTTTCCAGAAAAAAATAAATAAAATCCAAAAGCCTGGAATAGAAAAATAATGAAACACAAGTTGCCATTAAATTTTATTCTTTTAATTAGGGCATTTTCCAGACATCTCCTGCACCTGGATTGCGTTTAAAACAAAGACGTTCACCTAAAAAAACAATGGTTTTTTATTACAGAAATCTGTAATTCGCAACTGCAATTTCCGTCGTTAGATGGCGTCACCAATTGTCAATGGGGCGTGTACCGTTTTCACAGTTAGTTACCTGTAAATTATCGCCTCTTTTGCGGCTACAAATGCGCCCTAAAACTCTAGAAAATTCCGGACAAAAAACGTAGTAAAAGACGAAATTCGTGTTAACGTCCACTGCGCCCAAAACGGTGGCGATTTGCCGCAAAGTTTCCAGCGTCGCGACGCCGGCCTTGTTGCGGTCGCCGCTGAACAGCAAATTGACCGCCGCGGAGCGCGCCGCCAAGTTTTCCGGCACGTTCGTTATCAGGAAAAACACTATCATCGTTATCAGCATTATTGTGAGACGCGTGTGGTTCTGGAATTAGATTTTTGTATTTGTATAAGCATTTTACGCATAAGGCCTTACACGTCTTTTGTGGTTTTTAATGGGGCATTTTTGGTTGATTTTCGTCGCCATTTTTAATGATTTTATTAAAATTCCATTGCCCAGAGATAGAATAATCGCTGGAAGTACGGCAAAGGCAAACAAAGTGAACCAATTAAAAATATTGTAAAATCTACAAATTATTAGTAATTACAAATATTAATTAATTAATTAAACCTACTTTGAATTAAAAAAAGCTGTAGTTGTAAGGCTCCCATTGTCTCGCCACTCGAAAATAAAACAATAAGGCAAATTAAATATGAGGGCAATAGGGCAACTGGCCAACATAAGCCTTTTAGCGATGCGCGGGGTACAAAAACGGGGCACCGCGCAGCGCAAGGGGTCCCATAAATACACCGCTCTGTCCACAGTCAAAGCGACAATGGCCAAAATGCCCAAAGTGTTCAAACTGCCGCTCAACGGTAAACCAATAATGGGGCCCCACTTGTACGAAATCCCACCCAACATCAGCACCAACGAAGTGCCCAAATCCACACAAGCTAAAACTAACAGACAACTATATAATGACGTCCCAATACCCTATTGCCTACCTGCTAAATAAATATAAACCGAACCGGTCCAATTTTTGCGTCTGAGCACCGCCAAAGACAAGGTGTTGGTTATGAGGCCGAAGCAGCACAAAACGGGAGTCACAACCGAGTAGACGATTACGCCTGCGTCAGAAATAGGGCCTGAAGGTGGGATTTGAAAGGCCGAAACGCTTACCTCGAATTGTAGGGGCGTCGCACCATAAGTCGGCTTCGTCTCTGAAAGCGATCGCTGAAGATACAAAGTAATAGCTCATGGCGCAATGGCTGAAATCACACTATTTGTTTAATTAATGCATATTGATAATTCCGATACATTATTATTGAGATTAGGTATGTTTTTTTGATTAAATATCAACGTTATCGCACCTAGATTGTAGATTGTGGGGGGAGTCGTTTCGGCTTTCCAGCCGCTCAGCACTGCTACCTTTGCATCATTTTGTACGTGACTTTACATCTTAAATTGTCTCCAGGAAGCGTAGACTTTTGCCGAAGGAAGCTATTTTTCTGGGTGTCAAGTGAAAGCACATTTGTTAATAGTCAAAACATTTGCATTGTTTAAACTCTAAGTGCGCGTTCACATTGACACCGCTCGAGCGGTGAGCGTTGCGCGATTCCGCTGTAGCGATGCCCAAAAATAATTTAAACATACCTAAAATCTGTTTTTTTTTTTTAAAGATAAAAGTCAAAATGACATTATGTTGGCAATACGTGGCAATACAATGAAAAAATGTCAATGCTTTCAAATTTTTTATGTAGAAATATTGATTCCTGCTGGTATAAAAATAATACTTAAAAGTTGTTTTAATTAAAAAAAAATACATCTTGTTCATGTCTGGGCGTGGTAAGATAATATATGAATATTTAATAGGTACTCATCGTGGTATATAACCAGGGGAATAGTTGCTTGAAAGTGTTGCTGCTTCCCTTCATAACAAAAAAATTAACTAGCAGTCAGTCTGCTACCAGAATCGGACATGGAAGCACCTCTGAAGAAGCTAGCCACACGTGCTAGCGAAACGTCAGGAAGAAATTCCAACTTACGACGGCCATTAAGCCCGAATAAAAACACTTTATCGATAAACCCTGGCCGCGAAAGCCTCCCAAACTTTATTAAAAAAATTAACAGTTGTTTGTAAAATTTTATATCTATAGGTATGTACTTTACTTTATGTTTTCTATTTTAATATACTTTTCACCCCTTTCTCTTTGCAGAAGAGAAGTTTTGTCGTATTCATTTTTTGTTAAAAAAAATTTAAAATAGGGGCGCCAAAGTAGGATCTCGCTCCATCCTAAAAGTAACCTCGGGCCGGCACGCATGGAGGTAAGTAACACCCATTTGGCTCACGTTCGCAAATTTGAATGTAAGGGCGGTTACACACGGACGTGGATGTCTTAATACATATACGTGCATACATCAACGTGCAACCAAGAACGTGCATGGCGCTTTTGTACACACGCTCGTACAAAACTGCAGTCTTGCTATTCTTGCTACAGTGTTCCGAGTGTGCATACAAAATTGCACATTCAACAACGCGACGATATTTTGTATTCACATTGATGTTTTTGTTTGCACGTTCATGTATGTGCGTACATGTTTTCAGACATCCACGTCCGTGTGTAACCGCCTTAACACCCGATATCGCAACGGAGAGTTTCTTTGTCGGGCGTTACTTACCCCAGACACATTTACATTCACATAATGTTTAAAATTAATGCCTTTATTAGGTAGTATAGATATAATAGGTATTATTAGTTTTTTAAGTTGCAAACTTTCTGTATTTTAGTTCGCTTGTTAATTCCTCTAGACTTAGAGAAAACTAAAACTAAAAATACTTCAATTATTTATTTACTTATTTCATGAGTTAAAAAACTCACAAATTTGTGTTTTTATATACCCAATAGAAATTAAGAGTTCTCTAAATAATATATTTCGGCAAGTTGACAACATTGCCTCTCCAAACACTGCTAGATGCTGTGGCGTCGGTGTCCGAATTTTGTTCATACAAGAAAAATTCTGGAAGACGTGCATTTGCATAGTACCTATATTTTCTATAGGTATTAGTTAAAAAATGAATAGTGGTATTATGCCAGAGGATTATCCATATATTATAGGAATTAATGATAATAGGGAACTTGACAAAAAATTTAAACATGAAAATATTACTATAAATCATAAGAATATATATGTTTTAACATATATCAGCGAAAAAATAGTATATTGTTGTATTAGGAGTAGAAGCTTTACTTTTTTGTGCTGAAGCAGTAGGTTTGCGAGCCGAACGTAGTGAGGCTTGCAATACTGCTGAAGCACAAAAAAGTGCTTCTACTCCGTATGCAACACGCTATTTTTTCTCCAAACGAATGGGGTAAGCTCCGGGGCAAGTGAATGGTTGAGCGGCAATAAAAGTACGAGCGGCACTAAAAGTACTTTTGCTACCGCTGGGGTTGCCAAGCAGCATAGAAATTAAATTTCTACTACCTCGACAGGTGTTAACCCGCTAGATTTGCCTAGCAGCATGGAAATCAAACTTCTGACATCTTGACAGGAGTTAACAAAGTGACGTTTTTCTGACGTTTGGAGAAAAACAATTTTTTTTTGTCGCGAACGGCCGCAATAAGGAATTAAAAATGCGGAAAAATTCAAATTATTTTCAGCGGGAAAAAACGCGCTGGATTACATAAATAAAGCGATATACCTATTAATTATGACCGAAGAAGGACATTCCAAAGGCCAATTCGACAATCTGTAATTTGTGATATGTTTATGGTAGCAAAAGTACGTATGTGCGAATCTTGTTTTCCATTATAACTTCAAAATTTACAACTCGCTGCAACAGAAAACAACAACAAAACAAATAACGGTGGAAAATGTGGAAATCAACCAAATTAAATACAATGAAGTATAACGTTTGGCGACAAGGTGACTCAAAATCATACTACGTGACGTCATTCAGATTCGCGCGCATTTAAGATCGTTTGAAATGCTTTTAATACGCGCGAAACTTTAAATATTTTTCACCAAGTTATTATTGAGTTTTAGGGAATGATATTTGGAGAACACTCTTTTAAGGCATAAATAAATGATTTAAAAAAATTAAAAAAAAATTGTAAAGTTCCCTATTTAATAGGTATGTTAGTAAAATTAAAACAATAGGAGAACTGGATGTAAGTATTATCTTTTTGTTTTAAGGTATATAATTATGTAAATAATATATAGGGTGGTCCAAAAAAAACCGGAATTTTGTTTTGGCTTGTTTGGAAGAGAAATGAACAGGCTAACGAATCAGAGTGAAACTTTTGACATTTGAAAAAATTCCAAAATGGCAGATTCCTTTAAAAATTGCCTAGTTTAGGATAGCGTTGGAACTTTTTTGTGACACATCGTATAAGTTTTTTTAATAAATTCCTAAAGTTCATCATTTTGTGAACATATTAAGACCTCGACAGAAAAAATCGGTTGAAAACTAAGTGAAATATTGAATTTTTTGTAATATCGAATTTCAATTTTTTATATTGATAGCAAAATCTAGGATATGCTATTTCAGCTAGAATTTTTTTTTCTACTCGTCATATTTTTTTTTATTTCGGGCTTGTTCGAAAGATAAATAGATAGGATAAGGATTCGAAATGAAGATTTTGACAGTTGAGAAAAAATTATACACATGGGTACATTCAGGCAGTGCCAGCGGCTAAGCTCAGCCACTCAGCAGGGACTTTATTCTCGAAACCGAGGAACAGCATTCTCATGAGAACAATTGCTGTGTCATTGTCATTGTCATATTATTATGGAAATATGAAAACGGACGACAAAGACAGAACCTTCGTTTTCATGTGAACACTGCTTCCCTGTTTCGAGAATAAAGTGCCTGCTGAGTGGCTGAACTTAGCCGCTGGCACCGCCTGAATGAACCCAATGATTCGGTTGCGCAGCTCTCCTAAATTATTGAACGTAGTCCCATTTCCGTGGACTTTTTCTTCCAAATCCCTTCATAAAAAGTAATTGCAGGAATTCAAATCTGGGCTATTAGGCGGCCAGTCAATGGGCTGTATAAAATCCGCAACTTGCTCTCTTAGATAGTTGATAGTATAGCGGCTATTATGTCATCTGGCTCCATCTTATATAACAACAGTATTTATCACCTTTATCTCATAAAAAGAGAAATACAAAAACGTACAATTTTATCAAAGTTTTTGTGAAAACTAAAATCTGAACAATAAATGTTAACTAGGTAAGTTATAAAATTACCTGCATAAAAGTGTAGTCTTGAGGTGTGAGCTGTTCAATTTCGGATCAAGGTTTCTAAAGTTAACAGGTTGTCTGGTAATGGGTAACTTGATGACGCATCTATAGTGCCTTATGGAGATTTGTATTATGTTCAGGCATACAGATGACGTCATAAAAGTTATCAGGCAACCTACCTTGATTTCAGATAGCATATGGCGAACACAAGCTGACAATACTTGCATGAATTCAAGCGAACTCCTTGGTCGATTAACAATTATTGCTTTGTGACTTGTGACTTCGAGAAATTGCTGCAGTTAGATACCATATATAACTGCTGAATTTTTCCCTTCCATTATCTGCTTTTCGAGCTTGGAGGGAAATTCGTGTTGGTCCTTTTGCGAATTCTTTATTCCGGATAAGGTGAAAATTTTCCCATCACTGAACTAAATTTTTCGGATTTCAGCACAAGCTCTAAATCACTTTTAATTATTCTTTACAATCAACTATCTAAGAGAGCAAGTTGCGAATTTTATAGAGCCCGTTGACTGGCCGCTGGCCGTCTTTTAGCCCAGATTTGAATCCCTGCGATTACTTTTTATAGGGTGACTTGGAAGAAAAAGTCCACGGAAATGGGGCTACGTTCAATAATTCAGGAGAGCTGCGCAACCGAATTATTGAGTGTTGGGGAGAACTGCTGGAACAACGTAACATTGCCAATTCTATCGATTCTTGGCGTAGATGTTTAGCATGTGATGTTGAGGCCCACGGAGGGCATATCGCCCCTTGAATGTGTTTATTTTTTTAAAATTTATGAATAAAAAATATTAGTCGTATTGTTACAAAACTTATCGTTAACTTTTTCAAAATTCGCCAATATGAAGGAACTGGAAAATCTTTAATTTTTTCTCAACCAGTCAAAATCTTCATTTCGAATCCTTATCTCATCTATTTATCTTTTGAACAAGCCCGAAATAGAAAAAATGTGTCGAGTAGAAAAAGAAAATTCTAGCTGAAATAGCATATCCTAGA